CCATTAGGACCTTTTCCTATAATTTCATCCTCATTAAGAACATAATTAATTTGTTCCCTTACTGCTTCATCTTGAATGCCAAATAAATGGACTTTACGTGGACTAAGGTAATAAATTTTACTTGCCTGTTGATCAAAATGTGGTACATGAACATTTTGAGCTCAATCATAACTATAATGAGCAGTAGCATCAATACTGCAATATGGTGTTTTACCCTTTGAATAATTTTGATTAACTAATTTCCTTTGTTCTTCTGCTAATTTGGTGTTTTTATTATAATAGTTTCTTTCTAATCTTGCCTTGGACAGATGTTCTTTAAATCTTTTGAGTAAATCTTTAGCTTCTTCCTCTTGGCGAGCATTGTAATGTAAACCATTTCGAAAATGTTGACAAGTATCACACAAGTCAGTCCTTGGACTCATAATTTGAATCTCTGGTGTTAATTGATGTCATAGTTTTCTAAATGCATCATATTTTAAGGATTTCAAATTACTATCTTCTTCCAGACCAGCCAGAAAACCTCTATACACTGATTTATAACTCATTTCAGCTGGTAAAAAGATAACTGACTGAGTTATTCTATTGACACTCCTTCCTGGACTTGGTAATCCATGGACTTCAGCATAATTTTCTAGAAAATTTTTTACCACTTCAGCAACACTTTTGTCAATCACCATCTTTGTTTTCCATTTAGGCATCCTTTTAATATTACCATGAACTCTTGTTAAAAGACCATGTTTTATCAGATGATTTCTGATGTTTTCAAAATAAGTTCTACCAATTCCCAACATATTGAAATAAGTTTCTTGACAAAGAGGTATATTGTGATCCCAGTGATAAAAAGTTCTTTAAAGCGCCTACTGATGCTTATTGATCCACCATCCATTGCTTTAATCTGTGCCATTAAAAATATGTCTTGTTCTATTTTAGAAAGAGCTTGAAAGGACTCCCTTAATTCTGCAAATTCTTCCATAGGAATTCTTGAAGAACAACTACAACCACAACCACAACCTTTTTCTAAAAAATCAATTGCTTTTTGATATTCATTAGAACCATTATATTTATTATTACTTTTCATATACACCTATCCCTATATATATAATTTTATGTTCACTTTGTAAGTTTTTCTAGGATTGTTTAATAATTTAGCATTAAAAATGGATGAAAAATCTGTCTGGTTTATCATGAAATGCTTGTCAACCTTGACTAAAGAAATACAAATAAGGAAGTTTGTTTGCATAAAAAACTTCAACCGTTCTTATATATATGTATAAATATGTATAAAATAAATAAAGAATAACATATGTATTCAAAAAGGGAAAAAATAGGAATATCAACAATCTTGTATTGAAAAAAATAAGATATGTACGTATATGCATAATAATTTAATTTATACTAAAAATAAGTAATAAATAAATTATATATATTTCTAATAAATAATAGATCATTGAGACTTGATTATTTATTGAATATACTAAAACAGATGAACAGGTACATTTAAAGAATTATTGTTTATTTATAAAAAAACAATTGAAGAAAATTATATGCGCGTTTCCTAAAACAAATTATTTTTTTGCTGTAGTGTAACATTTGATCTAATAGAATCTATTTGAAACTACTAAAAAAAACAAATAAGCAAATGTTTAAAATTTAGTTTTTATCAAAAAAAGAAATAAAAAAACTTTTTAATTGAATTGTATAAAAGAATTATTGATTAATCAAAAATCATTAATTAATTTTTAAAAAAAAATTTTTTTTATTGCACATATTCTTTTAAAAGTAAAAAATGCCTTTGACTGCCACCTACGTAATTAATTCAATAGTTAATGCCAAAAATAAACAAATGACTTTAGTATTGTAAGAAAGCTAGTGCATTACAAGAGTAGGAAAAAATAATAATAACAAAAATGGCGTTTTTGATATCTATTTAATTACATTTTTTTATAGTAAAAATTCATAAATACTTTCACTTATTGACGAGTTATTGGAAGGTAAAATCTACAAAATGTTCAAAAAAGTCAATTTAATTAACTGAATTTTCAAAAATGATGAAATAAAGTTAGTTTTTTTATATTTATATTATTGCAAAGGAAAAATAAAAAACTAATAAATGAAAAACCTTTTAAACTATAACTTGTTAAAAAAACTTTCTTTAGGTAAACAAGTGCTACAACAAACAATCGTGATGAAAAAACCTGGTCTATTTGTAAAATATGAAGATCAAAACAAATACGAATGAAAGTTGTTACATGAGGTGTTTGAAAAGGTTCGTTACTGGGTTCATATTTCAGTTGATATACATGTAATTCCCAAATAAACTATTCTATTCCTTCAAAATAGTTCCCATTAATATCTATACATCGTTTTAGCCTTCTTTTCCACTAGTAAAAAGATTTCCAATAATCATCTTTTGGAATATTATCGATAACTAGTGTTTCTGTTCATTAATATCCCTTTTTGAATATCCGATATACAAAAGAATTATGAATATTCAAAATAAATCAGATGACTTTTGGTAATAGGTGGAATTTTGAATAGTCATAATATTTCGATAGTCATAATATTTTGATAGTCATAAATTCAAATAGTCAATTATTTTGAATAGTCAATTATTTTGAATAGTCAATTATTTCGATAGTCATAAATTCGAATAGTCAATTATTTCAAATAGTCATAATTATTTCAAATAGTCATAATTATTTCAAATAGTCATAATTATTTCAAATGTACAAAAATATATTCAAATATTGAGTGATAATAATCAGAAATCAGCTTTATTTTTGGCCAGGATTTTTATCGGCAACTTGTTGAATAACAACGTACAAGTTTTTCTACTTTATCAGACTTTCCTCCCATCCAATTTACCTAATTCTTGGAAATGTGAAAATTCACATGGAGCTAGATCTGGATGAGATAGTATAGTTACTTTATTTTCCTTCAAAATTCAGTTACAATTTTTGTCTTGTATGATAACATATTTTCATAGCAAAATTTTAAATATTGTCACCGGAATGCGAATAGGACCTTAATTCACTGATCAATAACCCTGAAAATCCGGAGTAATATTTTATATCTTATTTTTATATTATTTATATCATTTATTTATTTAT